AAGTGGCCCCCAGATAAGCACCAGAGGGCACCTACCTGGGATTTGCCGTTGGCACCAGCAAGCATCAAATCGCAGCTCCAGGCAGAGCCCAGTCCTCTCAGATGCGAGCCAAGGGGTCTCCATGAGGGGGACTCCAGGGGTAGCCTGCCAGACCCCAGCTGCCCAGCACTCCTACTCTTAGAATTTGAGAGCAGCCAGGCCGGGCCAGCCTGGGGCCAGGTGGCTGCCTAGACTGGAGTTTGGTCAGCAGTTGGGGACCTATATTGTGAGATAGTTAGGACTTTGTCCACAAACTGGAATTTGAAATTTCAAAGGGGCGAACTGAAGGGCCCTACCCCAGAGTGGAGATGGCTCTTGGCTTCTTTCCCCCACGACTTTTGTTCTTTGTCTTGATAAGTCCCACTTCTCCCTGCACCTCGCCCCAGAAGGCAGGTGGGAGAGGAAGGAGGCAAGAGAGTTGAGTGGGGGCAGGGGGAGCACTAGGGGAAACCATGGTTCCGGGTGGCCCTGGGGTGGCCAGATGTCTACAGGATACCTCTATCCAGGCAGCCCCAAAGGGGCAGGGGCAGAGGGGAAGGACAGTTGCTGGATGGATGGCATTGGGGCCAGGGCTTGTTCGGGGCTGGGGAACACTCCTGCCTGGGAGCTTTCAGGAGATGAGGTCCTGATTCCCAAGATTCGCTCAGCTAGTGGCTCAAGAAGTCCATGGCCAACGACCCTGGCCACTATTATTGCCCTCTACAGCTGTCCCTGGATATCCGTTCCAGGGGATTCCAGGACACACCCCCTCCCCCTGCCATATGAAATCTGAAGTTGCTCAAGTCCTTGGTATAAACTGGTGTATATTTGCATATGACCTCTATGCACCCTCCCTTATGCTTTAAATCATCCCTAGATGACGTTTCCTACTCGGTACATGTGAATGCTATGTAAACAGTTGTTATGTTATAATATTTAGGGAATGATGGCAAGAAAAAAAGTCTGTACAATGGTCAGGCCCTGTGGTGTGCACCTGAATGTAGTCCTGGCCCTTAGGAGTCTGAGGCAGAAAGATCAATTGAGTCCAGGAATTCAAAGCCACTCTGGGCAACACAGCAAGACCTTGCCTCAATCAGTCAAACAACCGTCAACCAATCAGATGTAAAAGACTATATCTGCAGATGTCTGATACAGATGCATATGGTTTTTTTTCCTGAGCATTTGCAATCTCAGGTTGATTAAAACCTTGATACTAACCAAAACCATAAGGCAGAAGGCCACCGCACACCAATACCTAGTCACTTCCTGCCCTTACCATCCTTCCAAGGAGGACATCCCCTCCACTTGCGTGCGTGTGTGCGTGCGTGCGTGTGCGTGTGCGTGTGTGTGTGTGTGTGCGTGTGTGTTTCCTGATGCTGAAAACAATATTGAGAGAAATAGAACCCAAGATCTCATATAGTAAATCACAATGCTTAGATTTTGATTCCAGTTTGTCTGGTTCCAAGATCTCTGGTGTATGCTGCTAAAGGACAGTGGCAGAAGGGTTGAATTGTCGGGAGAGTGCTGAGAACCAGATCACGTGATCTCACACAGAACTACAGATTGGGTCCATTTTCCAGCAGGAGAAACCAATGGGTCAGAAAATGTGCTTGAGCTCCCAGAGCTGGTAGATCACACAGGCGAGGTGGCATTTACAGGGGGAGGTGGCCTGGAAAATATTGTTTGGAGTTGGTTAAAGGTGGAGTTAAAAGTGGTGAATGGAAGAGATTATGCAATTTACAGTTGATGAGGGGGAGCTTTGCTGTGGGGTAAGGTTGTATTGGGGCAGGTCGTGGGCCTGAAACATGCCACCACACAGTCCTGCACATTGGCCCTTGGTAAGCCATGGATTGTGTTTCTGGTACTTGGTGGCTCTTCATTTACAGGCTATCCCTTTCATAGGAAGTTGTGTGTGTGTGTGTGTATGTGTGTGTGTGTGTGTGTGTGTGTGTGTATCAGTACTGGGGCTTGAACTCAGGGCCCGTCCCTTAGCTTTTTTGCTCAAAGCTGTCACTCTACCACTTGTGCCTCAGTTCCACATCCAACTTTATTTCATTTTGTTTATTCATTTTCTTTTTGTGGTTAACTGGAGATAAAAGTCCCACAGACTTTCCTGCTTGGGCTGGCTTTGAACTGAGATTCTCAGATCTCAGCCTCCTGGGTAGCTAGGATTACAGGCGTGAGCCACTGCTACTCGGCTTAGTAGGTTGTTCTTATGTGTTAACATAGTATGGCCCTGCTGACCCTACTTGATTGTGGATCTCTTTTGATTCGGTCTAAGTTTTCATCTATAGAAAAACACACTGCTATTTTTGTCACCTAATTAAACTCCAGCTTGCCAGTGATTACATTCCACATTCAGAGAGGTGGAAGTGTCTCTGACAGTTCATGAATCACATTTGGACACGTGCTGCTGGGTTGGATAGGGAGTAGCCACAGGTAGCTTATCCCAGGTGGCAGAGACCTGTGGTTGGGGCCTCTTTTCCCACACTCCCAGCACTGTCCCCAAGGTTGGTAGAGTTAGGATGGATGAATGAAGCCCTAGAGGAACTATCAGTACTTAAAGTCAACTTCTAGTCTTTACCAAATCTCAAGATGTGGGTTCGGGGGGCCTTTCTCTTCCTCCCTACTCCCTCATTGTCTTGTTCTAACCAAGCATTGACCAGACAAGAATCTTCTCCTCCTTTGACAGATGGGAAAACTGAGGCCCTGAGAAGAGATGTGACTTGAATAAAGGCATTCCAACAGTGACAGAGCTAATGTTTAAAGTCCCAGGCACCAAATCCCACCCCTTTCCTCCCCCAGAGCCTTCCCCCACCTTCTTCCCCACTATATCAGTATCATGGGTCTGGGGGCAGAGAATAAAGCCACAGAGGACAGTGTAAGAGCTTTGAATGGTTGGAAGAATATGTAAAGGTCTCCTCAGCCCTCAAACACACGTAGCATCTTCCTCTATTTGCCCAGTCTTTAATTCATTCAAAAATTTATTCAATTACTAGCTTACCCTTTCACCAGTTTACCTATTCCTTCATTTCACTCATCCACTCAACTCACACATTAATTCACCCTGCCTCCAATCCTCTCATTCCTAATCTACTCCCTCATTAACTCCCCCACTCTCCCACTAGGAGCTGGCGCTCACTCATTGTCCTACGCTTGTTCTAGGCTATTGCCATGTCTTTCCAATCTGTCCTCCAGCCTGCAGGGCAGCCCAGGCTCCCAGGCCTCCAAAGTCTCTGCCCTCCTTCTATGCTGACTATCTCTTCAACTAGTTTGGGAGGCTCTTGAAAAAATGTCAGCAGCAAAGGTCACAGAGAGGCTGAGAACGTAAGACCAGGGAGACAGGAGCTGAGGATGGGCCTCCCAGACTGCATAATTTTTCAGGGCCAGGCATGGCTATGACCCCTTGTCCTAACATCATGAAGGTTGTCAAGAACAGTAGCAAAGCCAGGGGTGGTAATACATTTCTGTAGTCCCTATACTAGGCAAGCTGAGGCAGGAGATCAAGAGTTTGATTCCAGTCTGGAGTAGATAGTGAGTTGGAAGCCAGCCTGGGTCACATAGATTTATTTTTATTATCTTTAAATAGTGGTACAAAGAATTTTCATTCAACATATAAGAGATCTTGTCTTTAAAAAAAGTAACAAAAGGGCTGAGGAATGAAGAGTGTTAGCTAGGTATGGCCTGGTGTTTTTCTTTTCTTTCTCTCTTTCTCTCTCTCTCTCTCTTTCTTTCTTTCTTTCTTTGTCAGTCATGGGTCTTGAACTCTGGGCCTGGGCATTCTCCCTGAGCACTTCAGGTCAAAGCTAGTGCTCTACCACTTGAGCCACAGCGCCACTTTGGTTTTTTGGTGGTTAACAGGAGATAAGAGTCTCACAGACTTTCCTGCCTGGGCTGGCTTTGAATCATAAACCTCAGATCTCAGCCTCCTGGTTACAGGCGTGAGCCACAGGTGCCTGGCTTGGTGTTTTTCTTTCTTTTTTTTCTTTTTGCCAGTTGTGGGGCTTGAACTCTGGGCCTGGGCACTGTCCCTCAGCTCTTCTGCTCAAGGTTAGCACTCTACCCCTTGAGCCACAGTGCTACTTCCAGCTTGGTTTGTCTGTTTCATGTGGTGCTGAGGAATCAAACCCGGGTGTCATGCATGCGAGGCAAGCACTCTACCACTGAGCCACCTTCCCAGCCCTTGGTGTTTTTCTTATACCATCTCTCTTTTACTAATACCCAAACCGCCCTGTGACATTGATTATCCATTTTATATAGAAGGAAACTGAGTCTCAGAGAGAAGAATCATTGACCTAGACTGACAACTAGCAGGAGGTAGGCGCCTGAATGCAAACCCAGGTGTGTGGGCTGCAGACTTTATCTTGGCCTATTCTGGGAGGGGTGGGAGCCAGGGGATCAGTGATGGATGGAGTCTGGCCCCACCAGAGCAGCTGGGAGCAGTGGGGGCTGGTGGTGGGCACCATCAGGCCATTGAGAAACAGGGGAGGGGCAGGAATCCAAACCCCCCCCCTTCTCTCCCAGTGGATATATGGGAAACTAGAAGGAAACTGGGCTCCCAGAACAGTGACACAGGAGAGCAGTATCTGGGCCTGGAATTTATGTTTCCAACTCAAAGGCAGCTTTATCTGTGCAGAGCATGGAAGGCAGAGCTCGATGATTTTGGAAGTGATTGAATTTGGGCATCTTAGGGTTGGCCTGAGCATATGGGAGAATGGCTCAGGAGAATGAACGTGGGGAGTTATGTTGCCCGCCTTACAGAAATGATCACTTAACATTGGTGAGTTAGGGCCCCAACAGTTGTAATTAGCACCCTGGGTGTCAGTCAGAAACCAACAAACAGCCAAATCCCTGCAGGTCTGCCCAGCCCATCCGGCAGCAGGGGACGATTAACCATTAACCCCCACCCCTCCCCACAGAGCCTCCACCCCAGCAGAGGCTAGGCCCCAACTCCAGGCTGAGCCTCCCAGAGGACAGTTTGAAAGGGAGGAAGGCAGAGAGGGGACCTGGGAGGAGGCAGGGGGGAGGCGGGGGCGGGGACTGGGGCTCAGCCCAGAGGCTTGGGGTGGGCACCCTGGGCAGGGCAGGTGGCTGAGGCGTGGGCAGGGGAGAATGCGCCTCTCCAAAACCCTGGTCGACATGGAAATGGCCGACTACAGTGCTGCGCTGGACCCAGCCTACACCACCCTGGAATTTGAGAATGTGCAGGTGTTGACGATGGGCAATGGTAGGTGAGGGCAGGTGTACTGCCCAGGTGTGTGCCAGTTGGGGCAGGTGTGCCCAGGGATGGGAACGGATCTTTGGCACTCAACTTCGAGGTGGGAGGAGAATGATAGGAAATGGTAGATTGGTCCTATTATAGGCTGGCACAGGTATTTCCAGGTGAAGCAAATGGATCCAGGTACAGGGACCAGAGGTATTCTGGGTGAGAAAGACCTACAGGGGCAAATTGCAGCAAACGTAGACCCCTAGGTTTTCTCCAGGCTTTTCCTCAGTCTGTGTGACAGCTCTCTGAGTGTCACCGGTAAAAGGGACACACAACAGCGAGCGCCTCCTTGGTGTCCTGCTTCTGTAATGCAGTCAGACATGGCTCTCTCTTCAGCCCCCTGGGTCTAGGTGAGAGAGATGGGAACATATATTCTGTTCTTGAAGATGGTTGCTAGAGGCATGAGTAAATTCCAACGTGTCTTTGGGACTTTCTTAGGGGAATTGGAGTTCAGGGACAATGGGATTCTCAGAGAAGGTTTGCTAAGCCAAGGCCAACACAGCTGGGTGTGTTGTGAGTTCATGTATTGTGTTCCTGCGTTTCCATGTAAGCATGTGGGCAGGATGGTATCTGTGTGGGCAGACGTGTACCTATAGGAACACACTTGTGTTCATTTGTGTGCTAGCTCCATGTCTCTCTGTTCATTGAAAAGGTCTGTCTGTGAGAGAGGCGACTGTTTTGCCTAGTTTCATAAGCGATATGAATGTGTGCGTGTGTGTCTGTGGATGTTTGTGCACATGTGTTGTGCCTGTGTGTATACTACGGTTGTGAGTGTGGACGTTGTTTTGTGTATACCCAGGATCGTGCCTGCTGAGTATGCATACCCCTCCCCCCACGGCTGGGGCCCCATTTCTCTGATGCGTGTTGAGTGTGTGGATTCCTTCATGTTGCTTTTTGCTAGATGAGATTCGCCTCTGCCACACATTGGTCTGTGTGCAGATGTGGTTGCTTGCGAGTATCTCAACAGAGGGTACAGCTCTGAGGAGGGAGGATGCCTGGGTGCTAGGAAGTTTCTGGAGAGTAAGGGCCCTTCTGGATGCCTCCATCTCTGAGACCTGGGGTTGTCACTGCCTTCCATCAGTGGCTCTGACTGAACATCCGTGTGAGGCTGTGGCTCTGGTTAAGGTCTAGAAAGCTGTGGTTGGGCAGCCAGAAGGAGGAGGCTGTGTCTGGGCATTGCTCCTGGTCTTTCCCACCAGCTGCTCCCCCAACCCCTCTTCACACACTGTTTGACCTTGGATCTGTCACTTCCCCTCTTGGCCTCTGTATTGAGCTCCTTCACCACCAGGTTGTTGAACAGCAAGATTTTAGGAGGCTCTCTGGGAATCATGGGAGAGGCCCCAGGGGAAATGGCAAATGAACTGCTGCTGGCCTGGGCAGGTGTGGTGTGACCCCTGGGGACAGTACACACTCCTGCCCCCAAGGCAGAGGCTAAGCCCCTTGGCTGTGTATCCCCAGCACGCGGTTACCTCGCGAGAAAGATCCTTCTTCCTTATGTGAACACAGCACGCCATTTTCCTTCCCAAGCCTCAATTTCCTTCTCTATAAAATAAGGATAAGCAGGGTGCCGGTGGCTCACGTCTATAATCCTAGCTACTCAGGAAGCTGAGATCTGCGGATTACTGTTCAAAGCCAGGCCAAGCAGAAAAGTCCATGAGACTACTTCCCATTAGCCACCAGAAAACCAGAATTGGAGATGTGGTTCAATTGGAGATGTGGTAGAGCACTAGCCTTGAGCAAAAAGGGTTCATGGACAGTGCCCAGGCCCTGAGTTCAAGCCCCATGACCAGCAAAAAAACAAACAAACATACAAACAATGATAAGGAGTAGCCTTGCTCTCAGGCCTCCTCAGAGGATAATAAGGTTCCTGAGGTTTTTCCCTGGTGGCTGGTCCTGGGCCTCAGGATTGTCTCAAGGACTCTAAGCATCTGCACAAAGGGCTTGCTTACCCAAAAGCTGGATTTTGCAGTGGCCTGGGAGCTGAGGTTGTGTGAGATTGTCCCCCAAAAGGTACATCCTGAGCTGGTGGCTGCTCTAAGGTTCCAAGGACTTTTTTTCTCCTCTCCATCCCCTGCTCTCAAATCAGGAGCAGCAGCGAGTGAAGGGGGGTAGTCCTTGTTTCTTAGAGAGCCTGACAGATACCCCAGCCCAGACAGAATGGCCAGAGGAGTCCATCACACCAGCCCCTGTCCTCAGCAGCACAGTGAGTGTAGTGCTGGCTAAGTCACATCATCTCTGAGCCTCAATATCCTCACCTGGAAAATGGGATGACCCACTGAAGATGGGCATCTGCCCAGGATGGGGGCTCATTGCCAGGCCTCTTCCTGAGTGGCAAGGACTTGTGGGGTCAGCTCTTCCTGGGGGTCGGTGGGGGGAGAGGCTGCAGGAGAAAGGGCACCAATGTGGCTTAACAATTATCCCCATCTCCAGGAATAATTCACCAGGTGGAAGGGGCTGTACTCCTGGGCACACTCGAGTCCTAGGAGATGTTCAGCCAGGAGACTGAAGTTTATTCTGCAGAGAAGAAAAATGGCTCACATGTATAGATTTAGAGCTACTATGCCAAGCACTTTCACCAGCACTGACTGTCTGATCCTCAGAGCCGCCCTTGGAAATCCTAATGCTCCCCGATTTACAAGAGAGGGGGAAACAAAGGCATGGAGAAGTAAACAAACACAGCCAATGCTATACAACCAAATGCACCACTGGGATTTGATAGTCACAGGCCTCCAGCATTACAGCTCTCTCCAATTATTTAGAGTTTCTGTGGAAACACAAAGGCGGGGGGAGTTGTTCCTCTGTGGTGGACAATGGGGTATCGTAGTGTTTATCATCTCTAAAGGATTATCCTAGTAAAAGATTTATTTCCCCCAACAGAGGTGTTTAGCTGCCCCAAATTGTCTAAAAATAAAAAAAAACCCAACTGGACCAATTAAACTACTCACTTTGGGGGGAAACTGAGGCCAGCTAGCAAGAAAAGAGAGGTGGTAGCCCAAGGCTACTAGTTAGCTACAGCATCCTTAGGCCCAGGGTACCTGCTATCCCAGCCACGATGCCCTTCACCAGTGTTGGTACTAGTACAGAGGCTTTGACCTCCAGGATAGGACGTGATCCTGAAGTGCTCAGGCCCAGGCCATGACCCTCCAAGGAGGCAGAGGAATGAGTGGTCTTGATGAGCATGTCTTCCTGGTTCACCAGAAGACTTAGCAAAGTATCTAGGCACCGAGCTGAGAAAGCATAAGATTTGGTTCTTGGAGACTATCTGTCTTGCCTCTTTTCCACAGCCCCAAGTAGGCATCAGGGAGCTTAGGAAGCAGCCAGGTCTTTATAGAAAATGGCTTCCTTCAGAGGCAGAAAAGCATCTCCCTCATAGAGTGCCCCCCGCCCCAAGTGATCAGCAGTACACTCAGTTCCAATTTATAGATGCAAAACTCACGCCCCAAAAGCCCACGTGACTTGCTGAGGATGCAGAGGGAGGAGGAAGTGGTGGAGCAGTGGTCCTGCTGGGGTCTGGCCTGGCTCGTACTGGTCTTTGCTCTTCCTGGAGCCTCACCCCTTCCCTTCTGGCACAGATACATCCCCATCAGAAGGTGCCAACCTCAACGCGCCCAGCAGCCTGGGTGTCAGTGCCCTGTGTGCCATCTGTGGGGACCGGGCGACAGGCAAGCATTACGGTGCATCGAGCTGTGACGGCTGCAAGGGTTTCTTCCGGAGGAGCGTGAGGAAGAACCACATGTACTCCTGCAGGTGAGCAGTCTCCATTTCTTCAGCTGGGACACAGGTGCATTGGAGCTTCTGTCTCCCAGGGCCTCTCTTCTCCTTTGGGGGAGGAGGCAATCTGGCCTTTGAGACCTTCAGACTCTTTTTGGGTCCTTAGACCTTGTGGATCTAGGTGGGAAGAGCTACTCTAGCAACTCCATTTATTAACCTCATAAAAACATGTGACTCCGCAAGGCGAGGGTGGCTCATGCCTGTAATCCTAGCTACACAGGAGGCTGAGCTCTGAGGATTACAATTCAGTGCCAGCCTGGACAGGAAAGTCTGTGACACTCTGATTTTCAATTTTCCATCAGAAAGCCGGAAATGGCACAAGTGGTAGCACACTAACTCTAGGCATTTCTGCCTATCCCAAGGGCTTTCCATAGCTTTGGAGATCTCTCGTGTGAAAGCAGCTGCCATTTTGGATAGTAATAAATCACAACATGGCTCCTGTGCCAGCTCCATCCATGAATTACCTCCACATCACCTGTCACCGCCCCTCTGAGGTGACATCTATTATCTCCATTTTATAGATGAGAAAGCTGTGCCTTGGAGGGTAGGAGTCAGCCAGTCTGGATTAATGGTGGAGCTAGAGTTGACCCTGAACCACCCCTCCTCCCCATCCCCTGCCCTCCCACTGCTGTGTGGCCTTGCCTCTACCTCCCAGGCCCTAGAGTAACTTCTATGGGACAAGTATTGACTCAAAGCCATAACCAGGAGCCTGCTGGGGGCTTTGAACTCTCATAGGATGTAGTGGGAGTCACAATACTATGGCACTCAATAGACAAAGATTCACAACTCAGCTCTACTGCCTTCCAGCCGAGCCGACCAGAGCCATGTGTCACCCTCTGAGCCTTAGTTCTGTATGGGGATACAGAACAGAATAAATTGTACTCTCTGAGAGTCCATAGGTCCCCTTCCTGGTCCCGATGGGTTAGTATGAGAATTCCTGGAGGGCAGAGATAGAGCAAGAAGGCTCGGGGTGGACTAACGGCCAGAGGCTTCATTCTGTTCTAAGAGTGGGGAAGCTGTCTCTTCTCCATCCAACCATCCAAAGCCCTCTCTAGATTTAGCCGGCAGTGCGTGGTGGACAAAGACAAGAGGAACCAGTGTCGCTACTGCAGGCTTAAGAAGTGCTTCCGGGCTGGCATGAAGAAGGAAGGTGAGCCTCAGCCCTCCCTGCACCCCACCGCCACACCTGCACCCAAGCTCCCCACCGTCATTTACAACTGTAGCCATACTTTATGGCTCAGGGACAGGCCCCAGGGTGACTGGCTAATGGCTGAAAGGAGGGAGGGCCTGGAAACCTGACCACAGGGAGCGGCTGGGCTTGGTCTTGAGAAAGATTCAGAGATAAGCTCCCACTCAGCTACTCAAGCACCCAGTAACTGCCACCAGGCCTGCCTGGGCCACTCATGGTGGCCAGGATAGATGCTCTTGCTTAATACGAGTACTTTAGGCCAGGCTTCAGTAGCTCACATCTGTGTCCTAGCTATGTATGAGGCTGAGATCTGAGGACTGTGGTTCAAAGCCGACCTGGGCATAAAAGTCCATAAAACTCTTATCTCCAGTTAAAAAGCTGGACATGGAGCTGTGGCTCAAATGGTAGAGCAATAGCTTTGAGCACAAAAGCTCAGGGACAGTGCCCAGGCCCTCAGTTCAAGCCCTCAGAATTCACACACACACACACACACACACACACACACACACACAGTTCAAAGGTTAAGAAAAGTATAGACTATGAGAAATAGCCAGGTATCTATCACTCAGCCTGCACAAATATGAGCAGCTAAGGTTCTATTCCTGGGCTTCCTGTCCAGAAACTATCACCCCAATTGTCTTCGTCCTCATCTTTGGGCATTGGGTGATCTCCAGAGTTCCCCATCTAGACAATAGGAGCAAGACCCACACCCAACTTGCATGGAGGATGGAGAACAGAACATGAACTCATGACTGAGCTGGCTCTTCCCACATTCGATAGGTCCTTTCACTCCTATGACAACTCTATGGGTGGCCCCTTTCCAACGCAAGGGGCAACTGAGGCCCAGGGTGGCTAAGCAACTTGCTTGAGGCTCTGCAGCGGCTCAAGAGAACAGCTTAGGTTGGAGCCTAAGCTTTGTGCTGTTGAAAGCCCCTCAGCGCTACCTTCTTTATTTCCCACCCTCCCCCGCCCCAGCCTCTGGGAACCATGAAGACTTATATTTGGCCCAAGTTAAGAAAGTGTTGTTGTTGTCTTTTTTAAATTATCTGGTTTTCAAAACAGCCTGAGTTCATTTTCCTATCTCTTCTTTTTCTTTTCTCGGTTCATGTTATCCAGGTCTTTCCCAAACCTTCACTTCCAGCCTCGGCTTGTGCCATCCTGGCCAGACCGTTAGTCCTTAGTAGAGTCCTGTACACATATGCACAAACTCATCCCAGAAACAGGAGCCCGAGATCCAGGCCAACTGAGATAGAACTGAAGCTTGGTTTGGCCGCTTCCCCATCCCCTGTCTCTGCCCCTGAGCCCCTTTTCTCTGTCCCTTCCTCAAAGTATTTTCTGTGTGATCTCCACAGCTTAGTGGGAGCTCAGGGGCACTGATGGCAATCAAGGCCCGACAGTCCTTCTGTATGTACCACAAATCTAACAGACTTCTCTCTGCCAGTCTGATGGAGAAAGGGTGTGATCCAGTAGCCAATGCCCCCTCCCCGCCCTGTGGTTTTCTATGGGGATGAGGCTCCCTTGCCCCCCCTCCTCCCTGAGATGAGGAGAACTTTGTGGAATGGGAAATGGGAAAGGGAATGTAGGTGCTTGTCTTGGCATTGGTGGTAAGACTGGGAGTTCATGGTCTAAGGGCCAAATGTTCTATAGTTTTAAGATTTTAGGCCCAGGGCCTGTTCAGAGGGTGCTGTGTTTGAGAAGAATCTCTCAGACAGAAATATCAGCAGGCAGGAGGGGTTGGTAGCTCCCCGGAGCACAAGACTATATGTGACCTGGTCCTGCTGTGATAGTTCCTTATAGATGTCTCTAGTTAAACAGACAGATTCATGTTCACCTGAGTCACCTGAGGGAAGTTTCCACCCACTCTGGCCCTCAGTTTGCCCATCTGTAAGTTGAAAGGGTTAGGTATTGAGGCACAGTGCCAACTAGCCCAAACTTTAGGTCCTGGAAGGGAAGAAGGTCTTGGGCCACCTCATGTAAGCTCAGCCTTAAACACAGCTGCTTCCTTGGTGGACCTGGACATTGGGTACCCCATCCAGACAATAGAAGATTCAGGCAAGCTAGTGAACACTAGCATATTTGCATGCCTGGGCTAGCTGGAATGGATCAGCTTTGAGAATGGATCAGGGTGTTGTGTGACCACTGTGGGTGAGCCCTGGGAAGTTAGGGCTGGCTCTACTTCAATCTTCCAGGCCCCCAATATCTATACCTGGCCTGATGGGTAGTTCCTAAAGCCAAGTGCAAGTCAAGTTTCACTGACCAGGACAAGTAGGGATAAATTTTCATTTCTTTCCCTTTCAACCCCTCCTGTCAGAGGATTTGAGGACTAGACCTTAAAGGTCCATTAAGACCAGAAAGTGAGAGCTTGGAAATATAGGGTTTATAGACCAGTTAGGTCTAGGAGTTATCAAATCTATCCCCATTTCACAGGTGAGGAAACTGAGGCCAGAGAGGTGATGTAATGGGTCAGGGGAGCAATCAGATCTAGAGCACAGGCTTCCGGGAACTATGCAGACGCCAGGCTCTCTGGGCTAAATTCGAAGTGAACGATCTATTTGGGAGCTATAATCTGATCTCAACTCCTGAAACTCCCTACGACCCACTGAATCTCATCATAGCCTTGTGAATCATGGTCAGAGGAAGTCTCCCTGAGGCTGGAAGGGGCTTCTCCAGAAAAAGAATGGGTAGGGAGAGGGGAAAACATGGGGGTCAACCAGTAAGCTAACAGCTGGCAGAGAATTCTGTCCTATAAATATGGCTGGGGAAAGACACCTGCCTAGTCTTGGCTCTTCAGCCGGGACAAAGGTTCAGCTCTTGGCATCAGAAACTAGACCAAAAAGTAGGGCCAGGGGACATAGGAGGGACAGGTTGGTGACAGCCCAGAGCCATCTGATGGAACCTTCCTTAGAAGCCTAGCTCTGCCCCTCTCCCTCCTCCAGGCTCCACTCAAGGGTCCTCTAGGAAGACAAGCTCATCCTCTTCTCCACCTCTTCTCCATCAGTTAATATTCAATAGAAGTTACATTAGGTCCCCGACCCTGCTAATACTGAGCAAACATTTGGAAAACATCATTCCGTGACTGAGCTCGCCCGGGTGCTGATAAGGCCGGCTAACCTTGAGGAGCTGACAGAGCCTTTCATTCTGCCCGCCTCTGCACCTCACCTGCCCCTGTGGGTGCTGGGTGCAGGAGATGGTTGGGCTGGCAAGTCTAGCTGCCAGGGAGGGGTGCAGGAGGAAGCAGGCCAGAGGAGCTCTCCTACCTCAGGATGTCTGATATACCTCACTGTCCTCCCAGGCTGGGGTGAGATCACTCGCCTTTTATTCTGATTTCCACGTGTGTGAAATCAGGTTGAGTAGTGGGGATGTCAGGGTTCCATGGGAAAAAAATGGGGTGCTGGTCAAAAAGGAGAGCAGTCTCATCCAACACTGTCTTTCACTCACTCCACAGATAGTTTCTCTTCTCTTCTTTTTTGGCCTGAGACAGGGACTGGAACTCAGTACTGGATGCTGATTGGCTAATCACTCTACCCACTGAGCCAGGCCTCCAACCCCTCAACAGATATTTATTGAGCGCCTACTACGTGGCAGGCTGTGTCTTAGGCAGCCCACGGGTGGTAACAGTGGAGAAGAGGAATAGAATTCTGGTTTTCTGGAAATCCATTGCTTAGAAAGAGGCAGAGAATAAAGAGGTCCACAAATAATTCTACAGGAAAATGTCTTGAGGAAAAAATGAAGTAGGAGAAGAGCTTGCGGGGGGCAGGGTAGGGGGAGTCTGACATTCTTCTGGAAACAAGACAAGAAGCAGCTGAGTCAAGGGAATTCCAGGCAACTGGGAACAACAGGGGCAAAGGCCTTGAGGGCGCATGTGAGTGTGTGGATGTGAGGCGCGCAGGGACAGGTGTGGCCAGGTGTGGCCGAGACAGAGTGAGCAAGAAGTTTGGTGACAAGGGAGACAAGAGGGGAAGGTGTTCTGAGGAGCTGTGACCTGGCGAGACATTGCTTCTGAGCAGAGGCACAGGTGACCAGGCTTTGGATCTCTGTGGAGGTCTCTGTGTCTTCTGAGAATTGCACAGCTTGGGGCCCACGGCCAGGAGCAGGAAGGTAGTGAAGGAGGTAGACATGAAGGGTCTGAGCAGGGCAGGAGCAGTGGCTGCTTTGTGAGAATTACTGGCTTCAAGGGTTGAGGACAAACGTGATGGGGAGATCAAAGCCCAGGAGATGCCCCTTGCTTGGGCTTTGGGGTCTGAGAGATTGGGAGACTCCACTTGTGGTTCCTAAAGTGGGAAGGAGCGCTAGGAGCAGGCGAAGGGGCAAAGCTTTGGATGGGGAAACTGAGGCCCCACAGAGGACACTAGTCCTACCAGCACAGGGAGGGAGGAGCCCTCTGGGATTCCAGGGACTGGAAGATGGACTGCCAAGGACTGTCTGGATCAGAGGGCTCAAGGCAATGTGAGCTGGGAGCCAGGTAAATACACGTCCTGGCTCCTGGGTTCTGGAGAGTGCACTGTGCAGGACAGGAGGGAGGCAGCCTGGCCTCTGAAGTTTGGTAGGTGAGAGCACAGGGATCCTACAGGAGGAGGAGCGCCTCCTCCCACCCCCACCCCGTCCAGGGTGCCTGCCCCATGTCGCGCATCCCAGGACTATCTCAGTGTCACCTGGTACAACTCAGTTTGCTTGTTCTATACACTTTAATTTGGAAAGAAAGAGACCAGCTTCCAAAGCCAGCCTGAAAGACTGGGATCTGGACAGCTCTCCCTTCTCCAGGCTCCAGAACCACCACCTGCCCTCTGCTGATCATCACTGGCTCTCATTCCTCCGGGGGGAATGGGCAGATCACTGCCACCGCCTTGCCATCGCTCCCAGGGAAAGTCCTGATGTCTAGAAGGTTCTCTCATAAGCTAGGATAGAATCCAGCTCCTCTCACTTTCCCACCCTGAGCTGGGTGCTGCCCTTGTGTTCCAACTCACTCCGGTGTTTGCTTCCCTGTGGGTCCTGAGACACCTGCCCCACCCGTCCCTGCCTCTCCTCACCTCTCTGTGCCCCTCACAGCCGTGCAAAACGAACGGGATCGGATCAGCACCCGGAGGTCGAGCTATGAAGATAGCAGTCTGCCTTCCATTAACGCGCTCCTGCAGGCCGAGGTCCTGTCCCAGCAGGTACCAGTCTGGGATTCCCCCGCTCCCCCTGCATTTCTACTGCTGCCAGACCTACCAGCCAGATGTCACAGAAGAGAAAGTCAAATGTGGCACAGCCAGGTTAATAGCAAAGACAGAACCCAAACACAGAGCTGGCATCCCAGGAGCCCTGCCTTGGTTTAGTCAGCTACCTACATTCCACAGGCCAAACGGATTTTGTTCTCACTAAAGGTTTGGGATCAGTCTAAAAGAACACAGGAGTGGGCCACTACACTGAGGTGGCGAGCTGGGGCTCAGCAGACCCCCTCTGTAGGGTTGTTGAGTAAGAGCCCTTGCTGCCTGACCTCAGGCCAATCACAGCACATCTCTAGGCCACAGTGGTTTCAGCTGAGAGATGAGGAGGAGGAGGATTTTCTCCCTGCTTTATCTCTTGGGCTCTGGAGACCGAAAGAGGAGAATGATGATGATGAGGAGGAGGAGGAGGAAGAGAAGGAGGAGGAGGAGGGGGAGGGGGAGGAGGAGAAGAAGGAGGAGGGGAAGGTGGGTGAGGAGGAGGTAGGGAAGGCATCAGGCAAAGGCCCCAAGGGAGACCTCATCTCATCTCCATGTTGTCCCTTCTGTGCCCTTGTGCCCTAAGTTTCCTGCACAGAGAGAAGTTCCCATGCCCTGGCCCCTACCAGACAGGGAATTTCCTGGGGTGTGGCTCTGGGTTAAGGATGGGAAGTGTCAGGAGGACCTGACACCCAGCAATTCCTCATTTCCCATAGATCACCTCGCCTGTCTCTGGGATCAATGGCGACATCCGGGCAAAGAAGATCGCCAACATCGCGGACGTGTGTGAGTCCATGAAGGAGCAGCTGCTGGTGCTGGTGGAGTGGGCCAAGTACATCCCCGCCTTCTGTGAGCTCCCTCTGGATGACCAGGTGAGGAGCTGGCCGCCACAGACGCCAGGCTTGGGCTGGGAAGATGGCTCAGTGGTAGAGCGCTTGCCTTGCATGCATGAGGCCCTGGGTTCGATTCCTTAGCACCACATAAGCAAAAAAGAAAAAAACCTGAAGCGGTGCTGTGGCTCAAGTGGTAGAGCGCTAGCCTTGAGCTGAAGAGCTGAGGGACAGCACCCAGGCCCAGAGTTCAGGCCCCACGACCGGACCAAAAAAAAAAAAAAATACAGACACCAGGCTGCCAGAGCCCTAACAGCTCGCCTGATAAAGAGGCCCTGGTTTGATTTTTACAAAACACACATAGCAATCATGGACACCCAGAACTCAGCACTCAACAAGCACTAACTCATTTTTTTTCATCCTAATGACCAAGTGGTAACTACTATTATTCTTCTCATCTCCCATTCTTCTCATGGGTAAAGAAATGGGCACAGAGAGCCTAAGTAACTTACTCAAGGTCACATAGCTGCCAGGGGTTAGAACCAACCAAGGAAGCTCCAAAGTCCAGGTTGCTAACGAGTACACCACACAGCTCTCCTGGTGGGGGATGTTGACAGGGACCCAGGAGCTAGGGATCAGGTGATTCAGGCTTGAGCTCTGGCTCTAAAACCAGTTCCCTGCCTAAATGATCCTGAGCAAATTATTTCCTCTCTCTGAGGCTCGGTTTTCTTATCTGTCAAGTGGGAATTAATGATCTACTTTAGAGTATTGTCAGAAAGACGAAGTATGTTCAATGATTTAAAAGGTGCAAGTAAGCCAGGTGCTGATGGCTCATGCCTATAATCCTAGCTACTCTGGAGGCTGAGATACGAGGATCGTGGTTCAAAGCCAGCTCAGACAGGGAAGTCTGTGAAACTCTTATCTCCAATAAACCACCAGAACACTGGAAGTGGCACTGTGGCTCAAGTGGTAGAGCACTCGCCTTGAGCTGAAGAGCTCAGAGACAGTGCCCAGGCCCAGAGTTCAAGCCCCATGACTGACCAAAAAAAAGGGTGCAGGCATAGAATCACATAATGGAGCAGGCATGACCAGACTGCCATTGCCTTCTTCAGTGTTACTCTCTTCCTTATATTGATCAAGACCATTGAACCCAGCTCTTAATTTCCCTTATGCCCCTTCCCGACAATCCGGAGAGTGTTTCAGGGAGGGAAAAGGCTAGGGGGAAGTTGGTGTATGTCTGGGGTCAGATGAGTTTCTGGGGGTGCTACATGGGACAGCTCCCACGAGATCTGCCTTGGCCTCTGCAGACATCTTCCCTTCCCCAGGTGAGGGCAGATGACCCAGGCCACCTTCCTGGCTTCGGAAGAAGCACTTGTCCATGCTTAAGAGAAGCCTTGCAGCCAGGCAGCTGTATCTCTTGGTGGAGAGAGTCTCCCCCAAATACCGACTCCTGCAATGGGCCCACTGTAAGATACTGGTCTGGCTCCTCAGACCTCAGGGCTGGACAGGGACCGTGATCCTTGGCTTCTTCTTCTCTTAGGGATCGCATCTGAATGTCTACAGCCTTCTTCTCCTGGCTCCTTGTGCTCTTGCCCTAACCCCTCTTCTGGAGAGCCCACATTAATATTTAACCCCCCTTGTTCCTTCCCAGGGACTTAGCAGGACAAGATACCCCCCAAGCTGAACAATTGTTAACCTCTATTTCCCACCCAAACCTCCCTGGCTGGGGCTCAGAGCATTCTCAGAGGGCAGTGATGGGTGGCCAGTCACACAGGACAATCATTAACATGCCCCCACCTGCCCCCCCCAGTATTGCTACCATATCTGCGAGTTGGACCAGGGACCCATTCATGGTACAGAAGGGCCCCATCTTGCCCAGCACAGGCAGGGCCCACCTGAGAGGTGAGGAGGCCTTGTCCTCTTTGGTTGATGTCCCTGGAATCAGCTTCCAAGTCTGTGTGGGCTCATCAAGCCACTGAGACCTACAAGGTTGGGTTCCACTGGAAAAGTAGGTTGGGGCCTAGAGAGAGATCTTGCTTGGCTGAAAAGTCACGGAGCAGGTTGGCCAAGAGCTGAGAAGCCAGGTTCCCTGCCATGCAGTTTAAAAACAGCAGTAATAAACAGCCTTTGCTTCCCAACACCCAGAGGGGATGTGTGATCCAAATGGTAGAGCACCAGCCTTGAGAAGAAAACCTAAGAACCCCAGGGAGGCTCCTGTAGCTGTGCATGAGAACACATGCAGGTGTACACACACAGAACACACCTTTACTATTCTTTCTCTCCTTCATTCAAAGATCTACCAAATGTGTAGAGTGTGCCAATGATCTTCCATGCCTTAGAGCCATTGTTCCTCCTTAAAGAGACCTACCCTGGCCTCGCAACACACAACTCTCACCTTTCTCCCTTCTCCCTTCCCTCCTTTCCCTTTCTCTCTTTTCCCCACATCTCTCTTCCCCCATCCACTCCCTGCCTGACACTTAACAGATACCTCACATTTGCTAACTGAAATAATAGGCAGTTAAGTGAATGAGTCCATGGCAGCCCTTTAAAGTTAAGATGCTGTTTAGCTTGCTACAGATTCACCAGCCTCACACACGTCACCAAGATGCAGGCAGGTTCTAGAGGCCACCAGCCTGCTGCTACTTTCCTCCCCGCCCCCTCCCCGCCCCAGTACCTCTTTGGTTCCTACACAAGCATTCATTAAGGCAGATAGCTCAAAAGCACAAAGTACATCCTCCTAGGAGTTGGCTGGGCCCATCCTCCAACCTCAGTCTTCACAGACTGCTGGGCTTCACCACAGGGAAGGGGCCTGGCACGATTCCCTGCCTTGGGGAGAGCCAACATCCACAGGCAAGTTCTTGTAAGGCGCTCCTAAGATCCTACAAGTTTACAGTGTCAAGTGGACAGATCCCAGATCTTCTGGGCCAGTGACTTTCCAAGCTCAGTGGAACTTCTGAATGAGCAGGTGGGAGGGGGAGAGCTGCCAAGTGCAGGTTTCTGGGCCTGCTCCTCCCCCCAATCAGAACCACTGATCATAGGCCTAAGAATCTGAATTTCCATGCAGTGCCTTCCAGAATTCTTCCTAGCAGGTCCATGGGTAGGGAGTTGGGACCCATAGTTTTAGAATATCTGGGGCAATGACTCTTGGAAGTCTATTGAAAGCTTCTGAGCTTCAACTCAAAAGAGTACACACAGAATATGGCCTAAAGTTACCCCCAGTTACCCAGGCCTAAGAAGCAGCTTTACCCAAAGATTGGGCTGTTCTGGGGTGTAGAAAACGTCTAGTTCTGAGCACATGTGCTTCTCCCCTACAGAGTTCCACCTTTCCAGGTCTCTTACCAGTGATGGAAGGAAAAACAGCAGCTTTTAAAAAAATACATAATTTTTATTGTTATTCCTAAGGGCTTGTACAGAGGGGTCACCATTTCATAAGTCAGGTAATGAGCGCATTTCTCTTTTTGGACGATGTCACCTCTCCCTTCACTTTCCCTGTTTCTCTCTCTCATCCCTGCCCACAAGTTACATAGTATGATTACATTTGTTCATTCTCCCTCCCTCCCTTTGCACCCCCTAAAAATCCAAAAGCAAAACCAAACACCAACACGAACAACAACAACATCCCTCCCCCACAGTATAACCCCTGCTTTCACTATATTTGATGTCGGTATAATTTGTGGAGGAGATGGGGAAAAACAAGTCATTTAAGGATACAGGTGGACCCGTTGCAACAATGAGAAGTACAAGTTGTCATGTCGAAAACGAACTTTACAACTTTGGTGCGGGGGGGATTGGGGGGGCGGGGGAGGCTGAGAAGGGATGTGAAGGGTAAACAAAGGAAGAGGCTGCAATGCTTGATAAGAAATGTACTCATTATCTTGCCCATGTAATTGTAACCCCTCTGTACAGTATGTTCACAAAAAATAAAAAAATAAAACAACAACAACAACAAAAACCCATGTTTCCATTTCCTGGAGCTCATTTTAATAAATAGTATTTTAAATGTTCAGATGAGTTATGTCCCCAAAGGGATATCCTCCTTTAGTTTGTTTGTATGTAAACTGTTCTGTATAGTTTATCATGTCCTGTTATGTTTTAGATCTAGCTTCTACATGTGAGAGAAAACATGCACTATTTGTCTCTCAGAGCTTGGCTTACCTCAGTGTGATTTATTCTAGGTCCATCCATTTCCCTGAACATGACATAATCTAGTTCTTCTAGTGGATGAGGGAAGACAGTTTTATAACGCCCAATTTAGAATTCAGACACTTAAAGGCATTTAGGACCGTTGAGTGGACTTTCCCAGGATTGCCGAGTTGGCTAGGAACAACCTTTCTAGGGACAGAGATGCCAAACCCATCCCTTCTCTCTTCCAGGTGGCCTTGCTCAGAGCCCACGCTGGCGAGCACTTGCTGCTGGGAGCCACCAAGAGATCCATGGTGTTCAAGGACGTGCTGCTCTTAGGTAAGGAGGCTGCCTGCCCCAGCCAGGGCTCTATGGAGGTCATGCCCGGCATGGCACATACCCAAGCAGAGGACATCTCCATGGTGACACAGAGGGTGAGGAGGACAGATCAAATGTGGCCCTGTCCTTGGGCTTGCCAGTAGAGGATTCCAGAGTTCAGCTCTCAGTGAATCTGAGTTTCCCACTCAAATGCAAGGAAATAAGAATGCAAGAAAATGATGAAAATCCCCAAGGCTTCACATTAGAACACAGTCTAACCCCGTAGTCAGCCCTGCCTTCTGATGATCTTTGTGCTGTAGGAGCCAGAGGTAGTCAGGAATGGTGCAACACTCTCCACCCCAGATAGCTCACCTGGGTCTTCAGATCGTATTTATTAAGAGCTTGGATAGCACACACCATAGGCCAGGAGCTATACAAACTACAAACCACTCTCTCTCTTTCTCTCTCTTCCCCCCTCTGATCATGGAGCTTAAACTCAGAGCCTGAGCACTTTCCCAAGGCTAGTGCTCTATCACTTCAGCCACAGCTTCATTTCCAGTTCTTTGGGTGGTTAATTAGAGATAAAAAGTCTCCCAAACTTTTCTCCCTGGGCTGGATTTGAACCATAATCCTTAGATCTTAGCCTTCTAAGTAGCTAGGATTACAACATGAGCCACTGATGCCTAGTTGACAAATAACTCTTTTAATACAACAATGCTAGGAGGAAAGAGTGATTGATTCATTGATGGACTGAGGACTGAGCCAGGGTCTTGAATGTATTAGGCAAGCACTATATCATTTGAGTCAGCTCCAGGAAACTACTATTTATGCCCATTTTACAAGCGAGAAAACAGAACAATTGAGCTTCTCTAAACATTCCCAACTATATGTGGTAGATCCATTCAACATGAATGGCCCAATTCTAGAATCTTCCCTTAACCTTGATACTTTTGTGCCTTCTGAGAGGGCCCTGAACTGCTTTCAAACTTTAGTTATGTTGTAAAAAGAATGGTGATACGATAAGGAATCCCCTGAAAAACCAAGTTCCAAGCATCACCTGATGACTTCAGACAACTCACCCTCTTATTCTTGGCCTCGAAGTTTTAAATCCATAACATGAGATCATGACAATCTTGGGGGATCACCTAGGGCACCAGTGGTCTTCCAACTTCAAACCACCACTGGAGGAGAGGGAGCAACCCAAAGTGATGACCCCATCCTCTCTTTCCCTCTTACCTATCCAGGCAATGACTACATCGTCCCTCGACATTGCCCGGAGCTGGCAGAGATGAGCCGAGTGTCCGTCCGCATCCTTGATGAGCTGGTCCTCCCTTTCCAGGAGCTGCAGATCGATGACAACGAGTATGCCTGCCTCAAAGCCATCATCTTTTTTGACCCAGGTATCATGCATACCTCCTTATCCATCCCTGATTTGCTAGGCTGTCTGTCAGCCTTCCTCTGCTGTGTTCATGTTCCCCTGTATTATCATGACAGCCAGGACAGGCCATTTTCATCAGCCCCAAGGTTCAGCAAATCAGGGTTCAAAGGGGTGATGGGTCTTGGCAAGGACTGACTCTGAAGATCTGAGGTTCTCGTCCCCTCCTCTTCTTCCTGTCTTCTTATTTCCTCTCTTCCTTCTTTTCTTTCCTCTTTGCTTCTTTGAGACATCAAAACATTCTTTACTACTACAAGTATACCTCGTCATATATGCTCTCATTAATATCTGTACCATCGATAGGTGCCACAAAAGTTAAATCCCTTAATAAGTTTTATCAAGAAATCTATGCATACTGAAAATGCAAATAGTGCTCACATTTTGGATCCCATTTTGGAGGAGCATTTTGGGTACCTCTGCATGTTTCTTTTAATCATCACCTCAACAGCTCCAAATGACCTGCTATCTGGGCACAGTGGCTCATGCCTATAATTCTAGCTACTCAGGAGGCTGAGTTCTGAGGATTGTGGTTCAAAGTCAGCCTGGGCAAGTAAATCCTGAGAGACCCTTATCTTCATTTAACCAGTAAAAAAATCCAGAGGTAGAAGTGTGGTTCAAGTGGTAAAGCACCAGCCTTGTGTGAAAAAGACAAGCAAGGACACAAGGCCCTGATTTCAAGGCCCAGTACATATAAATATACACAAATGAGAGAGAGAGAGAGAGACAGACAGACAGACAGACAGTAGAGACAGAGAGAGAGAGAGAGACAGACAGACAGACAGTAGAGACAGAGAGAGAGAGAGAGAGAGAGGGAGGGAGGGAGGGAGGGAGAGAACTGCTAAGTCTTATGTCTGGTTTGATTTGTTGTTTGTGGTGCCAGAGATCAAACCCAAAGGCAATTGCTCTACTACTGAGCTATACCCACAGCCCTTCCTTCCTTCCTTCCTTCCTTCTTACCCTCCCCTCCTCCTTCTTCCTGTCTTTCTGGCTTTCTTTCTTTCTGTCTTTTCTTTCAGTGGTACTAGGATTTGAACTCAGGGCCTCATACTTGCTAGGTAGGCACTATACCATTAGAATCCTACCCCCAGCTCCTCATATTTCTTGACTTTGATTATTTAGATCCTATTTTTTTTAACCTATCCTGGGTAAGATTTTTTTGGTTGGTTGTAAGGCTTGAACTCAGACTGTCCATTGAGCTTTTTCACCCAAGGCTGGCACTCTATCACTTTGAGCCACAGTGTTACTTCCAGTTTTTGGATAGTTAATTGGAGATAACAGTCTCACAGATTCCCCTGCGCAGGCTGGCTTTGAACTGAGATCCTCGGATCTCAGCTTCCTGAGTAGCTAGGATTACCAGTGTGAGCCACCAGCACCTGGCTTCCTGCTAAGAATTTTGCCCTTCTGCTGCTTCGCCATCTTGTTTCCTAATTTTTCCTATTCTTTTCTAAGTTTTGGCAAGAATTTAGTTTAACATAATAGAGTTAAAGTAGAAAGAAATGGAAAATGATAGAGAAACATTTCCTGTTTACAGTACAGGAAATGTGAAGCCTCAGGACCCGCACCAAAAAAAAAGAAAAAAACAAAAAAAGATGAACTTGTGATGCACCCATTGGGCCTGCTCCTAAAAAACCCTCTAGCTCTTCTTCCCTACTCCTGCAGTTTGTTTTTTGGAAATGGGATCATGGCCTAAGCCTGGGAAGCTACTGTTGGTGCCAGTGTAAGGGAGCTGTTCAGACCCTCCCTACCCCCAGACCCAAATCCTTAACCTCAGTTCAGGTTCACTAAAGCTCTCAATCTGAGCCCCACACATCAGGGGGCGTCAGGGCCCTGCGGCCCCTCCCTGCCCACCTCTCCCATTGCAGATGCCAAGGGCCTGAGTGACCCGGGGAAGATCAAGCGGCTGCGCTCACAGGTGCAGGTGAGCCTGGAGGACTACATCAACGATCGCCAGTATGACTCCCGGGGCCGCTTTGGCGAGCTGCTGCTGCTGCTGCCCACGCTGCAGAGCATCACCTGGCAGATGATCGAGCAGATCCAGTTCATCAAGCTCTTCGGCATGGCCAAGATTGACAACCTGCTGCAAGAGATGCTGCTAGGAGGTCTGTGCTGGGCCCGGCTGGGGGGCAGCATGTCAGGAGATAAGCCACACACACTCCTGAGCTTATCTCTCTGTCTCCTGGCACCACCTTCCTGGGTATTGGTTTTCCTCAGAGAAATGGGGACAAGGACAGAGGTCCGTTTGTTCAGGAGCCTAATGTGTGTGTGTATGTGTGGGTGTGTCTGTCTGTCTGTGTCTGTGTCTGTCTGTGTGTGCATACATACACACGTGCGTTTGTGTGTGTGCGTACGTGCTTGTAGGCAGACATGTGTGCAGAAGGGCTTATGAGAACAGATAATAACCAAGTATATAATAAAGACAATCAATATGCAGGTCATAAAATAGAGTTTAACTGAACAGGGGCCTCTTCAGATAAGTCAGCCAAATGATGACTTCCATGTTAAGACCCACTGGGTCAACGGAAATAGAAGACTTAAAAGCCAAGCGTAGAACATTTCAAGCAGAAGTAACTAGTTTCAAGTCCCCAAGACAGATAGGTTTGTGTGTCTGAGAAGAAAGGTTAAGGCACAAGACAGTGGTTATACGAGCTAAGATGGAGATCAGGCAGAAAGTAAACTACAAAAATAAGACTTTGTAGGCCATGGTCAGAAATTTGGATTTTAGCCAGGTATAATAGTACACACCTGCAATCTCAGCATTTAGGAGAGTAAGACAAGTTCAAGGCCAGTCTGGGCCAACAATTCACAAGACCTTTATCTCCACCAACAGACCAAGTATAATGGGTCAGACCTGTGATCCTAGCTAATTCAGAAACCATCAATAGGAGGAGTCTGATCTAGGTCTGCCAAGGGCAAAAACACAAGACTCAATATGAAATATAATTAAAACCAAAAGGCATGTGTCTTAAGTCATAGAGCCCTTGTCTAGCAGTCTTGGAGCCCTAGTCTCAAACCTCATAACTATCAAAAAGGAAAAATGAAAAAGAAAGAAGAGAAAGAACTTGGGTTTTATTCAGCTTGATGAGACTGAAAATCAGACTATTTTAAATAAACTACGCTGATTGTTGGGTTTACAGTGACGTTCAAGAAGTGCTATAAACTGGCTGGCCTATAAAAAAATACTCAATGATAGTTTTTTATTACTAGCTCTGGTGGTGCATGTCTGTAACTCCAGAACTCAGGAGGCTGAAGCAGAAAGGGATCTCAAGTTCTAAGCTTAGCCTGGGACATATTAAGGTCCTGTCTCAAAAAATACATTTCTTGGGCTGGGAAGGTGGCTCAGTGGTAGAGCGCTTGCCTTGCATGCATGAGGCCCTGGGTTCGATTCCTCAGCACCACATAAGCAAAAAAGGGAAAAAGCTGGAAATGGCGCTGTGGCTCAAGTGGTAGAGCGCTAGCCTTGAGCTGAAGAGCTGAGGGACAGCGCCCAGGCCCAGAGTTCAGGTCCCATGACCGGACCCCCCCCCCCAAAAAATATATATATATATATATATATATATATATATATATATATTTCTTATTAGTTAGCCCCTCCAGTTATGTGAAGGAAGGAAAAAGGAGCTCAGGCAAAGCAGTGTAGTAAACCTGACCACCTGTTTGGAGGAAGAGCCCACAGGACCTACTGGTAGATTTGAGGGGAAGTCACGGGAAGAGGAAGTCAAGAGGACTCTTTGTGCTTTGAGTGGCAGAAAGGATGGTGGGGGGATTCACTGAGATAAGGAAGTCTGGAACAAGCCTTGAGGCTGGGTCTGGACCATGGTCAGAGCCCACTCAAGAGATCCATTCTGAGTTGATCATGAGAAGACTATTGACAGCCCAGGAGACAAGTAACATAGGATCTGATGCTCAGTGGGGAAGGCAGCTATGGCTTTCCAGCATTTGGAGTAAGGAGAAGAAGGCTAGGGAAGAAGTCCAGCCAGGGGTGATAAGAGAAAACCAGAGAAAATCCAGGGTCCAGGACAACAGTAAGGCAGGGCATTTAATGGCTTAAATGAGAGAGAGAAAGAGATGGGGAGGGGGGAAAGAGAAAGAAGGGGGAGGAGAAGAAAGGAAGAGTCCACTGATGGCAACATGGAGGTTCTCTGCACCCAAGGAAGACCAGAATCAGAGGATTATGGGAATGGAAACCAGATAACAGTGAGCAAGTAAGACAGTGAGAAAGCGAAGGAGAACATTTCACTACAAGAAAGTTAAGGACGCTTCAAGGAGGTGATTATGGCGATAGACAACAGCTTGGATACACTCACAGGGATAATAGCTAATGGAACAGAGCCCTCGGTAGGACTGAAGAATGTCATGTTGCTGGATGGAGTGAGCTAGGAGGATGGGGGGTGAAATCAAGGTGAGAATGCTTGAATGTGAGGTGGTGGTGATGGTATGGCCTAGAGCAAGGGTACTCAACCTTAGTGCTGCTGCCATTTGGTTATTCCTTTTGTTGTTATTGTTGTTTTGTATTTTGGTCTGAGACCAGGACTCAAACTCAGTACCTGATGCTTTTGCTTATTGGCTAGCGCTCTACCAACTGAGCCATGCCTCCAACCCCAACACTGCTGATATTTGGGACTGAGTGGTTCTCAGTGTGGACTGTCCTAGGCCTTGTTTAGCTGCCTCTCTGGTCTCTGCCCATGCAATGCTAATAGTACTTCTGTAGCAATGTCAACCCAAAATGTCTTTAGACTTTGTCAGAATGTCTCCAGTGGGAACACATTCCTCCCCCACTGAGAACACAGTGGCAGGGTAGTTCATCTTGCACTCACCTGGAGCCTGTGAACAATGAGATTGTTCTGGATTGGTTGTTACTGGGATCACAGTCAGTAGCTGTGGTCTATGGCCAGGTAGACATAGGTGAGATTATCTCTCTGGATGCTTTCATCTCACCTGTGGAATGGGGTTCTAGGATAATCGTGAGGATGAACATGAAATAAAGCAGTATAAAGGACTTCCATATCAGAGAGTGAACTCTGAGAGCAATTGACTACATCCAATCTATGATTCTAATGAATGCATTACTCATCATATATGATCTCAGAGCTTCTGAGATTGCTTCTGGCTTCTTTCAAATCACTTTTGTTCTCTTGACCCTTTGGAGTCTCTGAATACCCCCCGGAAGTCTATGGGCAGGAGTGGTGAGTCCTAGTTTACTAACCCAGGAGTAGGTCTTCAAAAGGTACTGCCGGTGTCACATGGCTGTTACCCCAGATTCACCATCCTGACTTGACCCCTCTCTACCTACAGGGTCCTCCAGTGATGCACCCCACACCCACCACCCCCTGCACCCTCATCTGATGCAGGAACACATGGGAACCAATGTCATTGTGGCCAACACAATGCCCACTCACCTCAGCAATGGACAGATGTGTGAGTGGCCCCGACCGAGGGGGCAGGCAGGTGGGCACCATGGGCTCTACTGGGTGAGGGGGGAAGAGGGGGCCTAAGAAAGGAGGCAGGAGCCGGAGGCTGGTGGCTCACGCCTGTAATTCTAGGTACTCAGGAGGCTGAGATCTGAGGGTCGCAGTTTGAAGCCATCCCAGGAAGGACAATCCAAGAGCCTCTTATCTCCAATTAAGCACTGGAAAATCAGAAGTCAAGCTGTGGCTTAAAGTTGTAGAGCATTAGCCTTGAGCAAAAAAAAAAAAAAGGTCAGAGACAGAGCCCAGGCTTTGAGTTTAAGCCCCACAACCCACAAGAAAGAAGAAAGAAAGGAAGGAAGGAGAAAGAAAGAAAGAAAGAAAGAAAGGGAGATGGATGAAGGGAGGGAGGGAGGAAGAAAGGAAGGAAGGAAGGAAGCAGGAGAAGGTTGAGTCGAGCAGATAGTACCAGGAAACAACTCTGTGTTTTAAGGCCGGGAATAAGGGGTGAGATTGTCTATTTGTTAAAGCTATTTATTTAGGGAGGCTGTTTATACAATGAGATGATTGACAACCTCTACCAAATGAAGCTAGGTGTCCTTGAGTTGAGGCAAGCCATTGGATGAGGTGACCGTTGGGTAACAATTCCGTCAGATGACATTGGCCATTAGGTAAAAGTTTCCACTGAAGTAAAGCTGCCCAACTTTGGAAGGTTAGTCATTACACAATTAGAAAGAACTGAGCATGGTGGCACATGTTTGTAATACTAGCATCAGAAGGCTAAAACAATAGGATCATGAGCTTGAGGCAGCCTAAGTTACATAGCTCCACGCCAGCCTGGACTATATAGCAAGCACCTATCTCAAGAAACCAAAGGATGAGGATATAACTCAGTGGTAGAGCACTTTCCTACCATGTGAAAGGTCCTGGTTTCAATCCCCAACACCACAAAATAAAAATAGAAGTTGCTCACACCCATAATCCTAGCTAGTCAGGGGGCCTTGACCTGTGGATCCCAGTTTGAATTCAGCCTAGACAGAAAAATCCTTGAGACTGTTATCTCCAATAACAAAAAAGGTAAAGATGAAATTGTGGCTCACATTGTACAGTATCAGCCTTGAGCTAAATAGCTAAGGGAGAGCTTAAGGCTCTGAGTTCAAGTTCCAGTAAAGGCACACAAAAAATAGAGGATTATCTATTGGGTAAAGATATCCACTGGGCTAGACCATCATCTGAGGAGAAATTGCTAAAATTATTGAATCTGATTAATTCATCAATCAATTCGAAGAACTGATTCATCAATGAGATGAGGTAACCTATTGAGAAGAAATGAAAATTCATCAAGATTGTTCTTTAGGAAAGTTTCCCACTGAATAAAGTTAACCAGTTGGGTGAAAGTTGCTTTCCCAGCATTGATGAGTAAGGCCAAGAAGTTTCTTCCTCAACTTGTAACTCTCAAAGAAATGATTATTTTCTTAACCAGTTAGCCCTGGGTCTCAACCACTGCTCCTTCTCCCAGAAATACATCTCATTGATCTTGGGGACTGTGAGACCTAGATCCTACCTGGCTTGGGAGAAGAAGCTCAAATCTTCATATCAGATGATGAAACATTGAGTGAGAAACTTCTAGACTTCCAAGAACTTAGATTTCATGATTTGAGACTCATAGATAGGTTTGAGTCATGAGACACACTAAAAATGATCTGGGCTGAGAATGTGACCTAGTGGTAGAGTGCTTGCCTAGCGTGCATGAAGCCCTGGGTTCCATTCCTCAGTACCACATAAAAAGAAAAATCTGGAAGTAGTGCTGTTGCTCAAGTGGCAGAGTACTAGCCTTGAGCACAGAGAGGCTCAGGGACAGTACCCAGGCCTGAGTTCAAGCCCCAGGACCAGAAAAAGAAAATTATTTAGACTAATGATCTCATTTGATAGAAGAGCAAATTAAGCCAGGGCGAGGAAAGGACTTTCTCACGACTTCTTCACAGACTCCCATGAAGGCAGGGATTTTGAGCAGCTTCTGTTTCTTTGTCCCTTCAGCCACACCTGAGACTCCACAGCCCTCCCCGCCAGGCGGCTCAGGGTCTGAGCCCTACAAGCTCCAGCCAGGAGCCATCACTACCATCATCAAACCACCCTCCGCCATCCCTCAGCCGACCATCACCAAACAAGAAGTCATCTAGCAAGCTTCTGGGGGGTCAGGGCTTTGTCCCAGCCCCACCAGGTTTTTGATCTGGGGATCAAAACCTGGTCACCACAAAGGAACATGTGACAGCAAGGCCAGCCCCAGAGCAACAATGGAAAGGGTGCTGGGCCCAAGACCCTGGGCTGAGGGCCACACCCGCTGCCACCCTTGGCTTTGTGACCTGGATGACACAGTTTTGCCTTGCGGGAGGCCCCAGCTGGGAAATTCTCACTGCCTTGGACCACATCTGTCATTTTGAAGTCACTGCCTTCACCTCCATATCTACTCGACCCCCTCCCCCAACCTCTTCACCCTGAAAGGATGATTGTCTGAAGATATGGGACCTTGTCCAAACACAGCTCTCAGCTTTCCCAGTTGGTGCTGGCCCTGAGGTCCGAGCACAGAGCCCCTGAGGTTGGGTCAGCTGGTGGGTCCCCAGATGTCCCCTCTCAGATGTCCCTTCTCTTCACTGTCACCTTCCTCAGTCATTCTAGATGCCTTCTATAAACCCTGATTGAGGCAGAGGGTAGGGGTCCCCCATTCCTCTCCTCTGATCCTACCATACTTCCCTTGCTCAGGCCCTGGGGTACCTCCTCAGAGTGTTGGTCACCAACCCAAGGCTGGTGACTGCCATAGGACCTGGAGAGAGGAGGAACAGCCAGGGAGAGCATCTAGAGAGAAGCAGGTTGTCACTTTGTGGCAGGGTAGAAGCAAGGCTGGTAGAGCGGGTGAGACAGGACAGTGGGAAGGAGAGAGCCTGGACCAAGGTGCGGATGTGGGGAGGATCTGGAGAGGAACCTGAAGAGTGCTAGGTAGGTAGAGATGGGAAGGCTGGGAGACTTCAAGGTCAGTTGAAGGTCAGGGCTGTGGTGGTGCTGGAGAGAGCACCAGAGCCTGGGGGTGGGTGGGTAATGGCCAGAAGGAAGCAGCTTCCCCCCAAGCCCTGTCTCAAACACTTGCTCACTCCCAGGTGCTCCCCAGGACTCCCTCCTCTTGCCTAGAAATTGCTACAGAAAATGAAATTGAGTTCTAAGGGTTAAGCGATCTTTTGTCAGTGCCACATCCCAGTCAGGACTCAGTTCTCCCTAATCAGAGCAGATCTTACTCATCTGAAAGGACCTTCCGCTTCTGACTGTGATTAAATCGAAACACTTCCTGATCCTTCACCAGCCACAAACATAAAAAGTTTCTTTTTTCTAGAAGTCTTGCCCACTGCCAGGTCTAAAGTCCCCTGAAGCTCTAGAATCCTGCTTGCTGATAAATATGAAGGAGAATTCATGAGTCCTGACCCCTTTTCTCTCTTCACTCCGCAGGTCTGGGGGAGGGGCAGTGGGGACTTGGTTGCTGAGAGGCAGACAAATGGAACTTGACAGTGTAGGGATGGGACAGTTTGGGTGAGGGGCAGGGGAAATGTTTGAAAGCCTGGGATCATTTCTTAAAATACTAAACCCTAAGATGGAGCAGCCAGTGCCTCATCCCTTCCCGTATCTTTGGGAAGAGTCTAGAAAGTTCCCATTTGGCAGTGGAAATAAAGGGCTATGTCCTGGGGCTAGGGGGTGTGATTAGGACAATGAGCCATCAGGCTGACAAATTCCTTCCACCCAAAGTTGATCCTTCAGAGTGGATCTGTACCCAAGCGCCCAGAACATTCCACCTACTAACGATAGTTCCTCTTTGCAAAAAGCACAGAGAAGTATGAGGTGATTGTGTTGGAGGAATCTCCACACACACACACACACACAAACACACACACAGAGGTGTGTCAGAATGGGCCTTCCCTGCTCCAGAAAGCCAAGTTCTGCTTCCATGCTCAGAGGCAGCCCCCCTCAAGCCATCCTCCATTACCCTCACTCCGGTGCCCCCAGAAATTCCATCCCATTAGCTCAGACCAGTCTGCATGTGTGAGGTGGGAAAGCTAGTCTCATTCTAGTCAATGTGGTCATCCCCACTTGTTGCCCCTGTACCCCATTGTTGTGGAGCCTTCCTGGGAGCACAGTGGAGGTCATTTCCCATGGAATGAGTTGGAGTCACAGTGTCCTTTAATGAGAACAGTTTTCTGGAGTTAGAGGGTCAGTCCTCTATCCCTGCCCATCCTTTTCTGAAGGAGAAATCCATTCCACTTGAAGAACCTTATTGCAATGCAGGAAACACAAAATAAACACAAGTTTACTTTTCTGATTCTAAGCTGAGGACGCTATATTGGATTTCTTTGTTTTCTACCGGAATTGTGCATCCATTCTGATGGGCCGGTGGAGAGCAGGTGTGCTCCCACCAAGACTCCTTTCTTCAAGAAGTGTTCAGAAGCTTCCAGAATCCATAATGCTCTCTTGGGGTGGAGGGAGGAGAGAATTGGAAATGGATGTATGTCAATTTCTTGTGGTGACTTAAGCCAGTGGCCTTTGCCAGATTTTTCTGTGGTCTGCCCCCAGTTAAAATGAATTGTGAAATTTATATTGTGCCATTCTGGAAGGGGGCTGGGGTCATCACCCTATCTGCCTCTTTCTGGGTTGTGCGGATGTCACTAAGTCCTGTGCTGACTGACCCCCCCTGACACCCGTCACTGCCCCCTAATGAGGCACAAAAGCCAAAAAAAAAAAACCATTTCATACTCTTTATGTGTTTTAGCAGACATTTATAAAACAAAATAAATGGCACATATGTTTTCTAAGTCCTTGGTATGGATTTTTCTTTTCAGGTATTAGGAATGAAGAAGGTTTTCGAGGTGCTTGCAGTATACAAAATGCTTTCGTATCCATTATTATTTTGTGGTCTTTGCATCAAGCAGTGAGCAGGTTAGACCTTGTGGCTACTTCTCACTGTGTAGATGAGGAAACTGAGGCTGGGGAAGTGGTTCTTCCTTAAAGAGGTAGAAATCCAAATCTTGCTCTCCTGACTCCAAGTACTCCAAGTATGATCAGTGAAAGCTGATCCTCCGAAAGAGGGAAAGGATGATGGAAAGATCTGTAAAGACGGCAAGAGGATCCATGGGTCAGTCACCTGCCATTGAGGTCTAAGATGGAACCTTTGTTTCTGTCAGTCATACGAAATGCAAAGACATGGGGGAAATTTCATAGTTGCAAGTGTTTTGAAATGAATAAAAGATTGTTTTTAATTTTAAAGAATAAATTTTTAAATAAAAATTCTACAAAAATAATTTGGCAGGCTAAGAATGTAGCTTAGTGGTAAAGTGCTTGCCTAGCATGCATGAAGCCCTGGGTTCTATTCCTCACTAACACATAAACAGGAAAAGCTAGAAGTGGCGCTATGGCTCAAGTGGTAGAGTGCTAGCCTTGAGCAATAGAAGCTCAAGGACAGGACCGTGCCCAGATCCTGAGTTCAAGCCCCAGGACTGGCAAAAATAATAATAATAATAACAATAATAATAATAATAATTTCATTGTGGGGCTTGAACTTGGGGCCTGGGTGCTATCCTGAGCTCTTTTTGCTCAAGGTGTTATAGTACTCTTCCACTTTGAGTCACAACACTACTTCCAGTTTTCTGGAGGTTAATTGGAGATAAGAGTCTCACAGACTTCCCTCCTGGGGTTCGCTTTGAACTGTGATCCTCAGATCTCAGCCTCCTGAGTAGCTAGGATTATAGGTGTGAGCCATCAGCACCCAGATAATCCTAGCTATTCTGGAGGCAGACATTAGGAGGATGTTGGTTTGAGCCCAGTTCAGGCAAAAAGTTCATGAGACTCCATCTCAACCAATAAAACTGGTCACAGCCATGCACCCCTGTGATCCCATCTACTTGGGAAGCAGAAATAAGAGAATCACAGTCCAGGTTGGCCAAGGGATCCTATTCTAACTAAAGCAAAAGAAACGTAGCTGGGGACGTGATTCAAGTAGTAAAGCACCTACCTAGAAGCACAAGGCCCCGGCCAAACTCCAGTATAACACACATCAAAAAAGAAGTCATAGAAGTTTTCTAAGCTATTGTATGAGTGTTAGAATTAAGGATGGACTTGTAGATCTTTACAGTGTACAAAATGCTTTCAGATATACAGTAACTGTCAGACTGTCATAGAAAAGGTCAAATAAAGCCTTACCCAGGCTGCTCTCTGGCAAGAGGCTAGCCATTCAGCTCTCTGGTCTCCCATTAGCTGCCTGCTTGGTTCCTGGGCCACTCCTGTCCCTCTGATCCTTCTCCCATCCACCAGGAAACGGTTTCATTAATTTGTCCCTGCCTCCGCCAGCCTGGCCATGGGGGTGGGGACGAGAGGAGGCTATTTCAGTGCTGAATTATGCTTAATAAATCCATATCAAAACCATAAACTCTGAGCTGCCATAAATTTCCCGACCTTGGCTCTTCCACCTCACCAGCCCTTTGCCCTAGTTAATCTCTGGTCTCGGCGTCGGTGGCCAGGGCCTTACATTTGGTTTCTATTTTAGTTGCTACACAATACCCACTAGGCAACAGACGGCAGCGTGCCCATCGTAGAGATGATGAGAATGAGATGCAGGAGGGACAGGAGCTCATCCACACACCACACATCCAGTGAGATACCCAGCCAGGACTTGAGACTCATTTCTGCTACCACTCCACGTGGGTGGAGAATGGACACTTCTGGAAAGGCTGGTGCTTGTAGCTCCTCTTCAGAGGCTCAAAGGTCCCTGAGAAACTGGACACTACTGGCTCACACTTGTAATTCTAGCTACTCTGGAGGCTGACATATGAGGATCATGGTTCAAAGCCAGCCAGGGCAGGAAAGTCCATGAGTCTCTTATCTCCAAGTAACCACCCCAAAGCCAGAAGTGAAGGTGTAACTCATATGATGGAGCACTAGCCTTGAATAAAAAAGATCAGGGACAGTGCCCAAGCACAGAGAGAGAGAGAGACACAGAGACAGAGACAGACAGAGACAAAGACAGAGAGAAACACACAGAGAGAGACAGAGATTCCCAAAACAGGCTTCTAGAAACTCCTCATCTTATCTGCCACACTGCTCAGAGTGGGGACCAGAAGTAGAAGGGACCCTGGGTGACAAGTGCGTGAAGAGCCAGGTGTGTCCTCACCCACATTGGTGAGGACACCCGACTTCCTTACTTGTGGTAGCCAGATCACCTTTGGTGGACACTTCTCAAATTGGTGTGTCACATATGTAAATCCTAAGCCATTATCTTAGGCAGCATCCCAGCATCTCATGCGGCTGTTTATGTTGGTGGAGACAGAGGCTGACTCATGGGCTGTCAAGGCCAATGTTTACGGTGCTCTTCCTCTTTGCCAAGCACAGCTAGACAAAGTCATCCCACCATGGCCCTCAGGGGCAGTCACTCTTCTTCTTATTCTCTCATACCTGAGGGAACAAGTTCAGAAGGAGGAAGCAACTTGCTCAAGGTCCTAGCTGACATGACAGCTGAGCACACATCCACTGCCCCACTCCAGAGGCGGCCTGTCCCACTCCATGAGGGGACTGAGGAGGAGGCTGGTGACTCAGACACTGTGCCGTGGACATAGTGGTGAGAGAACTAGAAAGGGACAAAGGTCAATGGGCAAAGCCCCAGGATGAGGTGTCCAGGGGTCAGGAAGACGCAACACCATGAGACGCCTCCCTCTCAGTGCTCACATAAAGAGAAACAAAAGGCAGTGGAAAATCAAGAGCCCAAGGAGTGGGAGAGACAGCTGGTCAGGTGGAAGGAAGGGAGAGATTGCTGTGTGTGGAAAATGAAGGGGTGCACCCTTTGAAGGGAACGAACTCAAGAGGACATAATAAGGCAGAGACAAAGCAGGAGAACCCTGGAAGAAGAGCAGAGAAGCAGCAAGAGGCCTGCAGAGGGGAGGGAGGCCTGAGGCCAGCATTTGGCCAGTGTCCATGTCACCAGGCCCCTCTCCATGCCCAATGTACTTTCCATTCCTTTTCTTTCTTTTGGTGGCAGTACCAGGATTTGAACTCAGGGCTCTA